AGTGAACTCTAAAAGACTTGAGTTTGAAGGAAGCACATGGAACTGGACTCCGATTTTAACAAATGAGTAATCAAAATATAGAGGCTCGATGAATAAATATTAATCAATCAAGTAGGTATACATGAGAAAATGAATATACATAATTGACAAGGAATGTTCCTACATCTCATTCATAAGTTACAAGCAAGAGGGACATGCATATGCATATATCAATGAACAATAATACTAAGCTCGTCATCCAAATTATAAATCATTTTGAAGACAAAGACTCAAACGTTGAGCTTGTTTACAAGTGATAAGAAGATTGTGAGAGCTAATGTCGATTAGCTTGTAACCAATGTCAATGAGATTTGTAATGAATACAACTCCATCTGTAGACAATGAAGGGAGATAAAAATGATTGCAATAAATCTCATAGTGTGTTCATGAATACGAACACAGAGGCTCATACACAACGGTTGTTACTCAAGTGTAAACAAATACACTAGACCCTCACGAGTGACAACAATCAACACATATGAAGAGATGGATGATGAGGAATACAACTCAATCAACAGTCAGTAATGACATGTAAATGAATGCATCGGTCTACATATGAAGGGCGATAAAGGATATGCTGCAAGAACCTATGAACATATATAGAAGTCCTATAATGTGCATAACGAATACGAGATATCCAGAAGTTGATAGAAAAGAGTATGCAGTGATAATCTGCTGGTGGGCATGTACTACAAATACAACATATCTAAAAAATAAAAAATAAAAAGGCAAGAAGGCTGTAAAAGATATAATCTCCTTGTTATCAATATCAGTTGAATTACAAATGAACATATAATAACTTGCTTATGAGCATATGTGAAAGAGTTGCGTCTAATACCTTTGCTTGCAAACAACATTGGAATGTCAACATCCTTTGCGATTTGCTTACCAAAGTAATAGCAGCAGGCCCATAATACGCACAACACATCATCTACAAGCGAGAATAATATACTTATAACACATACGAGTCATCTATAAATACAGATGTACGCACCACATGCCACCTATGGGTGGATGTAGAAAGACTTCAATGAATGCAGTATATTATATTCAATTTCAATATATGAATGAATATATCTACCTACCTACAGGTAGAGTAGCGGATGTACTAAAAAGGCCTAAAATTATAGCAAAATGCATGAAGAATACAACAAATGCAAATACATTAAAAAGCTATTGTAGTAGAAGAAGATCCGTTATACACCCTGCGTGTTTTTATAAGAAAATACAAAGTGATTATATCAAGTGCAAATGCCTACGAGTTACTATAAGAAACTCATTATACATACAACAAGACACCTCTAAGCATCTATAAATGCATAGCAGAAGATTCATTAGTACACTATAATTCACCTCCATAAAGTAATAACTAGTGCACGACAGTCTACCTGTATAAAGCAGTAAAAAACTCATCCACAAGCTATTACAACACGCCACCGGATCTGCAATATCCATGCAAGTAGATCGAAGGCATTTATAAATATTCCAAGAATGTCCCCGCACATGCACTATAATATGTATGCACATAGGTATACTAAAGGGGCATATATAATCATAAACCTATATGGGCCCCTACAAGCGTATTATAGAAGCACGCATGACATCAAGGAATGCTGCGCGGGTCAATAAATTTAAACTCGATCCTCCTAAGCAGGTAAATAGGAGTTGACAAGATTCAGTAAATATCTAAAAATGCCCCCAAACACCTGCATAGGCCCTTGTGAGCGTGATGTATTCACATATGTGACATTTAATGATGCTATGCAGGTCGATAAATTTGAACCCGATCCTCATAAGCATGTAAATATGAGTTGAGAAGGTTTAACAAATAATTATAAAATACTCCCAAACACCCGCATAGGCCCCAACGAGCATGTTAAGGGTATACATATGACATCTAGGGATGCTGTGCGGGTCAATAAATGAACGTAATTCGAGCCTGATCCTTCTATATGAATAGAGAGGAGTTGACACGACTCAAACTATCAAATAGATATACTATCACGACGTCAATCAAAATATTTATTTTTTACATTCTTATTAGGCCTTCAAGGTCTATGACAAAAGAAATTTATCAACAAAGGCATAAAGCCTACAAAATCCGATCCACTATCGACAAATCGATAGAGTCGACAAGGTTCAATTCAAAAATAAAAATGATCCTAAACACTTCGATGATGGCTGTGTTGAATATAGTTCTCAACCGGAGGGATTAATTCCAAATATTTCAAATGCCTCCCAAATGTTTAAATACCCATCAAACATTCGAAATTCAAAGTCCAAACTTCAGAAAATCATCCAAAAATTTAAAATATTTAAAACTGAAATCCAACTACAAAACACTTAAAGCAAAATCCATCCACCCTCCACAATAGTTTATTAGGTGGACAAATTAAAATTTACTTCAGCTCACATAGAGCTAAAGTAAATTAGTCCTTAGTGACATCAAATCCTTGAGATATGAATCAATAGGATATAATCGATAGGGCACAAAGCCCTTTGTTAGCTAAGATGGATTTAAATTTATCCCCTTAGATTAATACATATTCTAGGTCTGCAACGTCCGCTTGTACGATGCAACCCATGGCTAAAGACAAGAATCCTTCTGTCAGGTTGGGTCAACTACCTCCTCTGACTAAGTAGACCAGGGACCACGATGGCCTGGGACGACGGAATCATGGGATCTTGATTGAGTCCATCATCCATTCCCCTACTATCTGCTTTAAGTGAAAGATGGTGAAAATTTCAATTTTAAACATCAAACCTCTAAATACACATGCCCATGCTACTACTATATGCCAGATAATACGTATTTTTATATATTTGATTGATGACTAGCCTTAATCGAAGTTCTCTCTCGTGATCGGGAGGGGTAATTAATTATAGGGGCTTGTGCCTACAGGAAACCAGAACTCATATCATAAAGTCCTCGCAAAATGAGGGCAAAATCTCTGGGTAATGTCTTATCTACAAACCTATATGCCTTACAAAATTTACCGCAGAACTAAATCCGTTAAAACTCCCCTGAAGAAAGCACCGGGGGAGGCTGGCGCTAAATTTTTGGAGCCCGCAAGAAGAGAATTATGGCATTTGTGGTTTCCTTACCCATCGATTTCTATCTCTCTCTCTCTCTCTCTCTCTCTCTCTCTCTCTCTCTCAACTTTTATGTAATTCCTAGCTTTTCTGTTGTACTATACTGTTCTCAGAAAAGGAATATTTCCCTCAGCCACTCCAAATCTCTTTTTTTTAATGTTATAACTTCTCTTCCACTTCTATAACTGTGACACTTTCAAACTCTTACTCAAACACTTAACACACTTTCTCTCTTGCTCTTAAGGGCCAAAAAACTATGGTTTGCATCCATGAATCAAACATAAATTTTGTGAACACAACAAGATTATGCTTAACTTCTTGCCAACTGTTGTACCCAAATGAGTAGAATCGGTCACTCCAACATCCCTTTGTTTTTACCTTTTGTTTTATGTTTAGCTATGTCCAACATATAAAATAGTATTCAGTCTTACTGGTCTTTCAAACGAACAGATAAAAATGCAGCTGGGAAGTCACAAGTGTAATATGTTATCTATTAAATTAGATCCATCTAATTGATTATGTTATATATATAGGGGTTTCATCAAGCCGAGCTTGAGTGAGTTGAGTGAGCTGAAGGTACTTAGATAGAATATTCATGTTATGTATTTGAAAACACAAACACAGATATATATATATATATATATATATACAAGTAAATTCAAGCTAATATCAAGTCAAATATGATTAAACAATATCTTCTTATTTGACTCGTTAAATATAATTAATTACTTATAAAAACTAATAGAAGTTAACTAATTATCAAGTTGAACATAATCGAACATAAGTTTTTTGACAGTCCTATTTTTACCTATCACATTAAGGAAAAATTAAAACAAAACTTGGGAAATAAAACTGAAGAAAAAGCCTTGCAGTTAAAGAAGTTGGGCTAACCAGCCAAGAAATAAGTACGCAGCTGCATATTCATTCATCTAATTGAGCATCATACCTTCATAATTTTCAAGTTGTTTTTTCCCGTTAGTTTGCGCTACCCTGCAAAGAAATAAGTATGCAGCTGCATAGCCATGGAATTGAGCCTCATACCTCAATAATTTTCATGTTCCTTTTTTCCAGTTAGTCTACTCATTTTGCTCCTCTTCCCATGACAAATAACTATTCGTCGAGTTATTAATCATCAACTTCAGCATCCTCGGTTCTTCAGGCTCTAAACTGCTTCCAAAGAGTCAAACATCATCTAATTATAGGCCCTTTCCACCCATGTCGAATCTGTGTTCTGTAAACAGTAAAATTAGCAGGAACAAATATTTTCATCCCACTTGCTGCTACCCTGGTTAAGGTTTAGACTTTGCGGAGCAATCTTACTGGAAAACCATGAGAACATCACTTTTGTGATATATCAATTTAAAAAAGATTCTCATAATTCGCTTCAAAAAAGCCCATCATTCGCTTTTTTTTGTCCATGTAAGTTCAAAAATCTCAAATCGGAATATAAGACAGAATAAGTCAAGTCGATTAGTAACGCCAAAAAAATAGTTAAAAAAACCAATTTCATTGCCATATTTTTCATGGCAACCCTTTTCAGCTTCAATTGAGACAACTTTCTTACTACTTCATAAATAACTTTTTAATAAAAAAAAATTGAACTAAAAATTTTTATATTAAAAAACTACTTTATGAAAAAGTAAAAAAACTATCCCAAACAAAACTTTCACCTGCACTAGCCTTTGATTTCACATTACAATAGAAAAAATATAATAAAACGAGAAAATCTGAGCCAAACTATACTAAAGTCAATGAAACTCATATTCATTAAATTAATTTTGAGATGAATATAATACATAAAATAATAATAAAGCTTTAAGTTACACTTAAAATAAATCCAACGGCTATAACAGATCAGGATATTCTGATAAATCCAACTTGATTTGGATATTCTGAACCCATTGATTTCCAATAAATAGCAAATGATATTTGGCATCTAAATGCACACTACAAAATGAAATTAAAGTTGTGACAAAAAATTCAGGATCAAGAACATTCTACTGCTGATATGAATAATTTTAATAAAATGACACCAAAGCATGATCCAATTCTATACACACAATTGCAATTTCTCATGTCCTGAAATCATAACCAAAATAACATGAGAAGCCACATAAAACCACCTCCCACCTTATCATCTTGCCCAAGACTTAAAACTTTTTTGAATGTAGTGAGAGCAATAACATGGCAGAATTACGAGCCAACAGTCGTTCGAGGGCTTAAAGTAGTCATAGTAAGAGAAGAAACTTTCCGTGAAACCAGCACGGCCTCATTGCTGATGGCTTTGGATGCGGCAATGTTCTCCAACCGCTTCCAGATCAATTCCCGCTTTGCCTGTAACTCCCTCTCCTTGGCCTCATTCTCATGGAATTGAAGGGAACAATTGTCGAGGAGCTCCTGGTCGGCGTCCAAGAAGAGCTTTCTAACATTGAGTGTTAGACCTTGGACGGCTTGGTTCCAGTGTCCTCTCATGTTATTCTCGAGGGCTGGGAAAATGAGAGGAAGAATGACTTTACGGTTCTGGGTAGTTAAGTTCCTTAAATGGTCATTGTTCCAAAGAAATAATGAACGTTCGGCTACCTGAGTTATTCAAGCTATAGTCAGTCAATAAAATTGATATACGATAAGGGATTAGATAAAAAGGCAAGTTTTTGACATTAGAAATTAAAAATATCATCGCTAAAGTGAACACAAGAAAGAAGAATAACCTGGTAGTTGACGCCTGTTGCGAGAACTGAAAAATGTGTAGGGTGATTAGGCATTTGAGCAAATATTATAGTGGACTTAAAAGCAGTGGTAAGTACCTTAACTTGCAATGACAGGAGCATCATGTACTAAGTATGATATTTTTTATCTTTAATAATATTTAAGTTCAGGCCTCGGCATAACCAACGCTCAGAATGAACCTGGACTTCGACATGGAAACCAGACAAACCAAATACAACAACAACAACATCAAGCTTTTGTTCCACTATGTGGGGTCGGCTACATGAATCCTTTTTTGTCATTATGTCAAGTTAAAAGTCAAATTATCATTTAAATCTAATAAAGAAAGATCATTTCTAATATTTTTTAACCAAGTTTTTTTTAGATCTATCTCTACATTTCTTAACATAGGTCATCCTCAAATTTCCTAACCGGGTCATCGGAAGGCCAACGTTTAATGCGACCAAACCATCTAAGGTGGCTCTCTCTAATCTTATCTTCCACTGGAGCTACTCCAACCTTTTCACGTATCCTATCTCTAAGGATAAAGCCACTCATTCACCTAAGCATCCTCATCTCTGCAACACTTAACTTAATATTATGCTTCTTTTTTAATGGCCAAATTCGGTACCATAAAGCATTGCAGGTCTCACCACCATCTTATAGAATTTTCCCTTAAGTTTGAGGTGGACTTTTCTATCGCACAACAAGCCAGATGCATTCCTCAACTTCAACCATCCAACTTGAATTTTGCTAATAATATCCCCATCTATTTCACAATCATTTGAACAATAGATCCAAGATATCTAAAACGTGTACTCTTATTAATGACTTGATCACCCAAAATCACAATCCCCTAACTAGTAAGCTAAGAAATTCCTTCATCTTCTAAGCATTTCTACATCTCTATTGGAATATCATCAGGTCCAACAGCTTTTCCACACTTCATTTTCTTTAAAGACTCTATAAACTTCAATTTTACTAATACAACAACAACATCAAGCCTTTATCCCACTACGTGGAGTCAGCTACATGAATCCTTTTCCACCACTGTGTCCTATTAAAGGTCAAATCTTGTTTAAATCTAATAAAGAAAGGTCATTGCTAATATTTTCTAACCAAGTCATTTTAGGTCTGCCTCTACCTTTCTTAACATAAGTCAAATCTAATACCTCTACTCTTCTAACAGGGTCATTGGAAGGCCGTCGTTTTATGTGACCAAACCATCTAAGGCGACTCTCTCTAATCTTATCTTCTACTGGAGCTACTCCAACCTTTTCACGTATATGCTCATTTTGTATCCTATCTCTAAGGGTAAAACCACTCATCCACCTGAGCATCCTATCTCTGCCACACTGAACTTATTATTATGCTTCTCTTTTAATGGCCAACATTTGGCACCATAAAGCATTGCAGGCCTCACACCCTTTTGAAATAAACAAAAATCCAAAAATTAAAAAAAATAAAAATAAAACTCATATTTAGGATTTATTTTTTAAAATACTAATTCACCCCCCCCCCCTCTTGATGCATCTCGTTCTTTCAATTGGTATCAGAGCAGGGTCTCAAAATAGTGTTTTAGGAAAACTTACGAAAATTGATCATGGCATATTTTGGTAACCGTAACACTTCAGAGAGTTATTTCATAACTCTTCCATTATTATTTGACAACATACTATTTCATTTTTGGAAAATTTGAATGTCTACATTTTTATAATCTATAGATTACCACATGTGGATGTTGGTATAAGAAGGTTACACTAATCCTTACTACTCCTATCTTTTTGTTTGGCTAACTTACACATATATATTTCTCTCTCCTTAGTATCTAATCAATTATATAAATCATTAAAAGCTAAGCTCTTTGCATCGCAAATTGCTTTCTTAGATTCCTTACGAGCCTCTTTATAGTTTCCCCAATTATCAAAAATTTTACATCTAAACCAATTTTTATAACAATCATTTTATTTTTTATCTTTTGTTGATTTGGATTCCACCACTAACTATTTTTACTATTAAAAGCTTTTCCCTTTAAAACTCCAAGCACATCTTTTGCAATATTCTTAATATCACTAATCACTTTTTCTCACATAGCATTAACATCCTCATGCACAGACAAAGTCTTAAAATTTAAAATCTTACTTTAAAAAATACTTTTATTAATATTATTTAAATGCCCTCATCTAATTCTAGAAAATCGTTTTACTTTATTTTTTATTATCTGGCCATTTATCTTAAAGTCCAAAACTAATAATCGATGTCAGGTACATAAATTTTCACTCGAGATAACTTTACAATCTTTGGAATTTAAATGATCTAATTTTCTTATAAGAAAATAATCAATATGTTTTTTTACTATATCAATTTTTATATATGATAAGATACTCATCTCTTTTCTTAAATAAGGTATTAGTTATTAAAAAATCATAAAATTAAAAAAAAATCTAATATGATCATACCACCTTCATTTGTCATTCCAAACTCATAGTCATCATGAATGCTTTTAAAATCATCTACCTCTTGACCAACATATCCATTTAAATCTCCTCTAATAAAAAAAATTTTCTTCAAGAGGTATCTATTGTATTAATTCTTCTAAGTTATTTCAAAATTTTAATTTTGAACTCATATATAAACCTACTTGAAGAGCATAGATACTTATAATATTAACAATCTTAGCATTAACAACAATTTTTAAAACTATAATTTTATCTTCAATTTTGTTAATTTTTATAACATTATCCTTTAAACTTTTATCTATAATCATACTTACACCATTTCTAGTACGACACATACCCGAATACAACAGTTTATATCATAAATTATCAAGTTCATTAGCCTTCTCTCCAACCCATTTAGTTTCCTAAATGCACAAAATATTTATCTTTCTATGAATCATAATATATATAAATTCTATTAATTTTCCTGCAAGGGAGCCTATAATTCCAAGTTCCTATTCTAATTTTAGTTTCATGGACTAGTTTCTTCGCCCACATTCATCATTGATGTGGGAATCCTTGCCTATTCAATACTGCACCCAGGCGTCGGTGTAGTGACCCTTACACATTTGTCGCTATATTCAGGCTATACAGCGTGTCGCATCCAGGGGACGCCCTAACATTAACAAAATTTTTTATCGGATTCATGTTGACTACCAAACGCAACCCTTCACTTTTCTCATCCAGTACTTAGGACCTGGTAACATCAGTGTTAACCAGACCAACTAAATATATATATATATATATTATTGAGGGTTAGAATATTCGTGGTGGTAGAATAAGTAAATGTTTTGTCCTAGCGATGCAAGGATATCCAACACAGACATATAGTTGAAGAGAGCAGAAAAATAACAGAAATTTTTTACGAGGAAAACCGAAGAGAAAAGACCACAAGGTTTCGCCCATGTTAAAAGATTCAACTTAATTTGAATGAATTACAAAGGATGACCCGTCCCTTAGAGGCGATATAATTATAATAGTTTGAAGAGTTGGGAGAAAGTCAAACGACAATCGGGCGAAAGTTCGACAACGTTCTTGCTGAAGTCTAGCGGAAAGGCGGTGGTCCGACGATGGTTGGGCAGGAGTCTGGTGGTGGTCAGCGGCTGGGTGGAAGCTTAGCGGCCAGGCGGTGGTCCTACAACTGTCGGCGGTAGGGCGATGGTTCGGTGACTGTCAACGGAGGTTCAGCGGCAGTGGTAACGAAGTGGAGCTCTAGAACCTTGAACCCTCAAAACTATTTCCAATATCAAGCCAAAGGTGTCCTTCATGTAAAGAGTGGGGGTTCATTTATAAATTTTAAAAATGGCATATCGTATTAATATAGAGAAGATCTAGGGAAGATTCAGAGTGCTCTATTGGACGACCCATATTGATCCCCTTGATCGTTGAGCTTTTATAAAGCATTTAAGTGCCATAGTGAAGTAAGAATTAAGCAATATTGGGCTCATTAGATTCGTTTCTTCGAGCCGCTTAATTCGACTATAAGCATGTCATATTTAGAGATTAGTTGATCATCCAATTAATGCTTTGAACCTTCCAAATACGCTTCAACCCCTTGATTTGGGTCCATTTGGGCTCGAATATGATAGATTTAGGTGTCGTTGGATTTGTGTCTCTGAGATGTTCAATTTGGCTATAAAGTTTGTTAAAATCAGAGTTTGGATGGTCCCCAATTTAATTTTAGAAGTTTCTAACTTGGATATACTTCATGATTCATGTGTTCAATAAAATTTCCCTAGTTATCTTATTTAGTTTGCAATTTATTTTTGGTATAACATGCCTACTATGATCATAGTAGGCATGTTATACCAAAAATAAATTGCAAACTAAATAAGACAATTATTTTTTCTTTGCTTTCATGAGATTTTTGTACTATAAAGTAACTTCATAAAACAACAAGAAAGCCGTCCCAAACAAAGCCATAGTTTGAACATGATACTCTATAGCATAGAATTCTTTTTTTTTTCTTTTTTTTTTTTTTGTCAAGTTAAAAAAGTAGTACTTGGGATGGAATATAAAATTACCGAATTAATGAATCACAAGTTTTAGCCGGATCATAGGGATTCCAACAAACTAGCAATACAGATCATTTTTAATTATAACTAGGACACTACAGTGTAAAATTTCGTTATTTGACTTAATAATTTTTAGATTTCTATCAAGTATACTGTTGTATGATAATTCTTCAACTGTGTTGCAGGTGTTGACAGTAATTTTTTAGATAAAGTTATACCTTGTAGCAATGTATGAAATCATTATTATGAACTTAATCCCTTTAAAAGTTTTAAATCTTTTCAATTTGATATGCAACCTTCTAGCCATAAAATTAGACAATTTTAAATGATTCTTGACCAAAACCAACTAAAACATTAAGGG